TGTCATTATTATTAAGAAGACCTCCAGGTCGAGAAGCTTATCCAGGTGATGTATTTTATTTACACTCACGTTTATTAGAAAGAGCAGCTAAAATGAATAAAAAAATTGGTGGTGGTTCTTTAACAGCGTTACCTATTATTGAAACTCAAGCTGGTGATGTTTCTGCTTATATTCCAACTAATGTAATTTCGATTACTGATGGACAAATTTTCTTAGAAACTGAATTATTTAATGAAGGTCAAAGACCCGCAATTAGTGTTGGTTTATCTGTAAGTCGTGTAGGTTCGTCTGCCCAAATTAAAGCTATGAAACAAATTGCAGGTACTATGAAATTAGAATTAGCACAATTTAGAGAAGTACAAGCTTTTGCACAATTCGGTTCAGATTTAGACGCAACTACTCAACAACAATTAAATAGAGGTGTTAGACTAACTGAAATGTTAAAACAAGGTTTAAATATTCCATTAGCTGTTGAAAATCAAATTGTAATTATTTATTTAGGTGTACGTGGTTTTTTAGATAAAATTGCTGTAGATAAAATTTCAATTTTTGAAACTAATTGGTTAAATTTTATTAAAAATAATCATTCAAATATCTTAGAAGAAATTTTAACTAAAAAAGAAATCTCTAAAGAATTAGATAAAAAATTAAATACTTTAGCAACGGATTTTACTAATAATTTTTTTCAAAAATAATACTAAAATTAAAAGAAAAAATAAATTAATAAATCAAATTTATGGCAAAACAAAAAATACAAATTTATATATTCAATTATTATCTTTATATATTATAATTTTTTTAATTATTCCTTATATAAATATAATTTTAATATTTACGTTAATTTTTATTAAAATATTTTATTATAATACATATTATAATCAATATTTGGGATTAACTACTACATTTTTTTATAGTAAAAATAACATCATTTTAAATTTCACATCTGTCGTGTTTTCAGTATTGACTATATTTTTTCTCCTAGTACAGAATCCGGCATTTTGTTTAGGTTCGGATTTAGGTGTAAATCCGGATTCAAACCCCGACCGGATATTGAGAGTGCGGTTAGGGTCGCACATGTTACTGTGCCACCGGCTCGGGAATTAATAAGTCCCAGAGGTGAAATCTTCGTACACGGGGTTGTTATTTTAAACAAATATCAAAAAGAAATGACTAGAATATCTAACAATTTTTTCAAAATATTAATATAATCCCTTTTGCCGGTTTTATACAAGGTCTAAGTACGCTAGAACATTCATTTATTCATTTTTATAATACAACAGATCAGCAGCATCATTTGTCACACAATTATGGTTATGCTGACAGTCATCTAGAAATTCAAGATAATACTGTGCAAACAGTGTTGAAAGACACTATTAGGGCCTAGGGATTAACATCGAATGCAGCTAAACGTATAGAATTGGATACTTTTCAGCAAAAAATGTTTAGAATTGAGGGTGAGACTTTAGGGTGTAGGCGGGCGTCAACCAATCGGATGAAGAAGGTTCGGCGGGTTGCCCCGGGGGCGATTAATTTTGATTATTAATTTAATAAAAAAAATACATCCTTTAAGATATTTTAAGTAAAAATAAAAATTGATAATACACATTTATGTTATTACAAGCTTCTAAATTTTTAGGTGCAGGATTAGCTACTTTAGGATTAATTGGTGCCGGTATTGGTATTGGTAACGTTTTTGGTTCTTTAATTATAGGTATTTCAAGAAACCCTTCTTTACAACAAGAATTAATGAGAACTGCTATTTTAGGTTTTGCCTTAACTGAAGCAATTGCTTTATTTTGTTTAATGATGGCTTTCTTAATTTTATTTGCATTTTAAAGCAAATTTGCTGGTTTTTCTGTTTTTTATTATGATGTAGTTATAATAAAATTGAATATTTCTATATATTTTTAAAGTATAATACTCCTCTTTAAACTTCTTAGTTTTTATTAAGTGAGGGGTTAATAAAAATTAAAAAGGATAAAATAAAAGATATCTTTTATTTTATTATATTTTTTATGTTATGTATATATTTAAGCGTTTTCAGGGATTATTTTTCTTAAAATAATTATTTATTTTTTTAATATATAAATATTTTTAATATTTATTATAATTTTTAATTTATGAAATTATTAACCAAATTTAGTCAATATTTATTACAAATTTTACCAATAATAAATTATACATTATATAAAAATGAATTATGTATTAATATTCCTACAAAAAAATTAATTCCTATTTTAATTTTTTTAAAAAATCATACAAATAGTCAATTTAAACTATTATCTGAAATTTGTGCTGTTGATTATATTAATAAAGAAAAACGTTTTGAAATTATTTATAATTTATTAAGTATACGTTTTAATAGTCGTTTAAAAGTTAAAATAACTATTAATGAAGTACAACCCGTAGATTCAATTGTTCCTATTTATAAAGCTGCTAATTGGTGTGAAAGAGAAGTTTGGGATATGTTTGGTATCTTTTTTTCTAATCATCCGGATTTACGTAGAATTTTAACAGATTACGGTTTTGAAGGACACCCTTTACGTAAAGATTTTCCATTAAGTGGCTTTCTAGAAGTATTTTATAATGAATTAAAAAAAAGAGTAGTTTATGAACCTGTAAATTTAGCACAACAATATAGATTATTTGAATTTAATAATCCTTGGGATAAAAAAATAAGTATTTAATATTCTTTTAATTATTTTCGTTTTTAGGTTATTTTTCTTTTCAAATTATGAGATGGAATAAAAAATCATTATTTGCAGTTCTTAATAATCATTTAATAGATTATCCTACACCTATTAATTTAAATTATTTTTTTGGATTCGGTTCGTTAGCCGGTATTATGTTAGTAGTACAAATTTTAACTGGTATTTTTTTAGCAATGCATTATACACCTCATATTGATTTAGCTTTTAATAGTGTTGAACATATTATGAGAGATGTTAATAATGGTTGGTTAATGCGTTATACCCATGCAAACGGTGCATCTTTTTTTTTTATTGTTGTATATGTACATATTTTTAGAGGTTTATATTACGGTTCTTATATTACACCAAGAGAAGCTTTATGGTGTTCTGGTGTTATTATTTTCATTTTAATGATGGCTACGGCTTTTATGGGTTATGTTTTACCTTGGGGACAAATGAGTTTTTGGGGTGCAACTGTAATTACTAACTTATTTTCAGCAATACCTTTAATCGGTAAAGATATAGTTGATTGGTTATGGGGTGGTTTTGCTGTCGATAATCCAACATTAAATCGTTTTTTTAGTTTACATTTTACTTTTCCCTTTGTAATTGTAGGTGCGGTATTAATTCATTTAATTTTATTACATGAAGTTGGTTCTAATAACCCATTAGGTATTACTTTAAAAACCGAAAATATTCCCTTTTATCCGTATTTTTATACAAAAGATTTATTTGGTTTAATGGTATTATTTTTAGTATTTTTTATTTTTATATTTTATTATCCTAATACTTTAGGTCATCCAGATAATTATATTGAAGCTAATCCGATGAAAACCCCTTTACATATTGTTCCTGAATGGTATTTTTTACCTTTTTATGCAATTTTAAGATCTATACCCAATAAAATTGGTGGAGTTATTGCAATGTTTGGTTCGTTAGTTGTTTTATTAACTATACCATTTACTAATTCATCTGAAATTAGAAGTACAGCTTTTAGACCTATTTTTAAAATATGTTATTGGTTATTAGTAGTAGCTTTCTTATTATTAGGTTGGGTTGGGCAATGTCCCGTTGAATATCCTTATACTGAAATTGGTATTATTAGTATGATTTATTATTTTTTTTTTTTTATAATAATTATACCATTTTTAGGAAAATTGGAAGCCTATTTAGTACGTTATCGTACTAATAAATAATATATTTATATATTATTTTTATTAAAATAAAATTATGTTTAATTCCAAAAAAAAACAACTTTTTACCTTTTTTACTATTATTAAGATAATAAATATTTTTTTAAATAATAGTAGTGATATTATATTTAACACTTATCCTGATATTAGTATTAAAAATTATTCCAATATTAAGCTAAACCCCGATTTAAATATTATTTTTAAACAAAAAACCCTTAATAAATAGATTACGCAATATTTATTTAATAATTTTAAATTAATTTTTATTTTTAGTATTTTGATCACGTTAATATGTAGTTTATTTTTTTTGAAAATAAAAGCAATTAAAAAACCTTAATTCAAGTTTATACTTTATTTAAAAAATTGAAAATTTTATATTCTTTCAATAGACTATTGGTTTTTATTAATTCCATTTTTTATATATTTTTGAAATAGACATATCTTAACACGATTAAAAAATATTAATATTCAAACAACCGATTACGTAATAAACTATTTATGTCAATTTAAAATTATTATTATTTTTCGGATTTATTAATATTAAATTCGAGGTTATCGGGACAATACCTGTTATTAAAACGTTTAGATTCAGAAATATTATCTATATGTTATCTACCTGTTTTCCAGAAAAATTTCCAACATATAGATTTCCAAAATTCCTCACCAGTGTATTTGATTATCGAAAACACGATTAGAAATTATCTTAACATGCGTCATTTTTATGCTAAAGGTGATTTACAGGTAAACCCGGATTGGGGAATATATCAATTTGAAAACTATAAATAATTCACAACAAATATTATTTGATTATTTAACAAGTATTCGTGGGTCAAATAATATTCGAGAAGATTGTAAGTGTTTTTCTCTGAAAGGAAAAGAGTCGTAGCCTCTATATTTATGTGCTGTCCGTTCCTGTGAATTAATAAATAATTCTTTAAAAATCTTTATTATCTTTTTTCTCATTTTTCATATTTTATTTATGTAAATATATTTTTAATAAAAATATATAAAATTTCAAAAAAACAAACGTAAATAATACGAATAGTATTCGGCCGTAGGGCAGAGAGTTTTTAAAATTCTACCACATATTTATGAAAAAGGAAAAATGGAGTATAAATAAATATATTGGGACTTGAACCCAAGACCTTTGGATTTTTAATCCTGTGCGCTATCAACTGAACTATATATTTATTTTCTGAAAAAAAAATTAAACTCTCTGATATAACCACCACCCTCTTTCTTTACAAAGATTTTTATTGGTTATTGCAGTAATCCTCAATTGTTCTAAACTATTAACTAATCCCGAATATTCGGTATTTTGCCGTAAGCCTTGATGAGGTAAATCTTCTAAATAAATGTTTACGACCTGTTCAATCGTAGAAGCATAATATGAACCTTTAAAATTTGACACATAATTATTATCAAAAGAACCCACAAAATCATTTGAAAATCTTTTAATAGTAGTTAAACAGGTCCTTAACAAATGTAATTTTGAATCGTTATTTTGAGTTGTACGTGCTAATTGCATATTTGCATGAAGATTTTCTAACAAAGTATTTTTTGCTACACCACCCGTTGCGGCGTTAGAATCATCTATTTCATCCGCACGGTGTGTAAAAGAAGGTTTTGTGATTTTAAATAAAAAAATAAACTATTAAAAAATAAACACTAAAAAATAAAGTACTACTAATAATAATAAGAGAATCAATTTTAAATCCATAATTAAAGAAATTAATTAATAATTTTATTATCATTATTATAATGATAATAAATTAATTTTATAAATTGAAATATCTCCAGATAATTTGAAGAAAACAATCATAATAGCTAAACCTATAGCAGACTCCGCAGCCGCAACGGTTAAAATTAATAATGAAAAAACTTGTCCTATTATATCATCAATTAAAACTGCAAAATAAATAAAATTTAAATTGATTGATAATAATAATATTTCAATAGACATTAAAATAATAATTATATTTTGTCTATTTAAAATTATACCGAATAATCCTAGACAAAATAAAAAGAAAGTAAAAATAAAATGATTTAAAATACTCATAATTAGTTTAACCAATTAAAACTTATTAAAATACTTGCAGTATAGATAAACCAACTTAAAGTAAAAGGTAAAAATACTTTCCAACCTAAGCGCATTAATTGGTCATAACGATAACGTGGTAAAACAGCTCGAGCTACTACAAATAAAACAACAAAAAAACATATTTTAATACTAAACCAAAAAGATCCGGGTAAGAAATTAATAAATCTAATACTAAAAGGGAAGGGTGCTAACCAACCACCTAGAAATAAAATAGTAGTTAAACTACTCATTAATAACATATTTGCATATTCCCCTAAAAAAAATAAAGCAAAACCCATTGCCGAATATTCAACATTATATCCAGAAACTAATTCAGCTTCAGCTTCAGGTAAATCAAAAGGGTGTCGATTTGTTTCTGCTAAACATGCTATAAAAAAAAGTAAAAAAATAGGAAAAAGAGGAAAACAATACCATACAGTTTTTTGTGCTAAAACTATAGAAATTAAATTTAATGATTTTGCACATACTATTACAGATAGAATAGAAAATCCTATAGTTAATTCATATGAAATCATTTGGGCAGTTGATCTTAAAGCACCTAAAAATGAATATTTAGAATTACTTGACCAACCTCCAATAATAACTCCATAAACACCTAATGATGAGATTGCTAATAAATATAAAATACCTATATTTAATTCAGTAAAAAACATACCAAATCCTAAAGGTATTACAGTCCAACTTAATAAACTTAAAAAAAAAGCTAAAATAGGTGCAAATATAAATAAAATTACATCTGCATTACTAGGTAAAACAGTTTCTTTTACGAATAATTTAAGACCATCAGCTAATGGTTGTAATAATCCAAAAGTACCTACAACATTAGGTCCTCTTCTTCTTTGTATAGAGGCTAAAACTTTACGTTCAACTAAAGTAAAATAAGCCACAGCGATTAATAAAGGTAATACTAAAATTAAGAATTTTAAAATTGTGTATATCATAATGATTTTGATTGATTTTTGATGATTTTATTAGAATTAATTAATACTTTTGAATATTGTTCTAATATATTACTATAATAATTATTTTTTATTAAAGAATCTAAAAAATTTATATTAATTTTTAAATATTTTTTATTTATATTAAAATGATTAATTATTTTTATTTTTTTTTTTAATAAATAAGGTAAAATATCTATAATTTTAAAAAAAGAATTTGATTTTGATTGATTTTTATTTATTAAAAATTTATAAATATTTTTATAAATAATCGAATCTTTACGTTGTTCAGTATTTAAATTTAAAATTTTTCCATTTTTTTGAATTAAACCTTCTAAATTAATATATAATCCTTTTTTTTCTAAAAATGTTAATCCGGGTAAAATTAAATTTGCATTTTGTGCATCTTTTGTAAAATGATGTCCTTGATAAATAATAAAATTATGTTTAGATATTTTTAATTTATTTTGTAAATTTGTATTAAATAAATAATATAACTTAGAATTACTCTTAGATTTTTGAGATTTTGAAAAAGTTATTTCTAAAAAATTTATTAATGAAATTTGTGTATTAAAAAAATTAATATTATTGTTCAAAAATGTTAAATTTTTTAATTTTTCCAAAAAAAAAAAACCATTTTTTTGATTTATAATATTTTCTCCAAAAATAATTAAAGGTTTTTTAGCTTTTTTTAAATCTTTACAAAAAATATGTTTTCCTAAAATAATATTTAGTAAACTTTTAATTGTTAATCCTAAATGTTTTACTGGATAAGTAAAATCAGTTTTATTACCTATATATGCAATTTTAAAATCCCCTTTTTTTAAACGATTAATTAAATGAATATTTAAAATAGATCCTTCTTTACGAATATCACTACCAACAATTAAACAAAGATCTGATTTTTCGATAGCTTTTACAGTATTATTAAATAAAAAATTTGAAGTTAAATCAGAATTTATTTTAATATTTTGATTTTTTAAAAAACGTTCATAATTAATATTTGAAATTCCTACTTTAGTTAAAAATTTTTTTAATAAAAAAATAGATTCTAAATCAGTTAAATCACCAATAATACTTTGAATTTTGGAGCTATCAATTGTATTTAATTTTTGATTAATTATATTGAAAGATTCTAACCATGAAATCTTTTGAAATTTATTTTCATTATCTTTTAATAAAGGATATTGTAATCTTTGATATTTTAAACTATCGAAAAAATATCTCGTTTTATTTGATATCCATTCTTTATTAATATCAAAATTAGTTTTAGGTAAAATACGAACAATTTCATTATTGAAAATATCAACTTTAATATTTGAACCGATTCCATCTAGAATATCAATTCCTTCTTTTTTTCTTAATTCCCACGAACGTGCTTTAAAACTATAAGGTTTTGAAGTTAAAGCCCCAACAGGGCATAAATCAACTAAATTACCGGAGAATTCGGAATTAAAAATTTTAGGATAATAAAAATTAATTTCTGTTTGATTACCACGACCTGTTGTACCTAAATTATCAATTCCACAAATTTCATTTGCAAAACGGACACAACGTGTACAATGAATACAACGTGTCATTATGGTTTTAATAAAAGGACCACAATATTTATCTTCAACACCACGTTTTTTAAAAAAAAAACGACTACGATCTGAACCAAAAATCATGGTTTGATCCTGTAAATCACATTCCGACGCTTGATCACAAATTGGACAATCTAACGGATGATTTATTAAAAGAAATTCTAAAACACTTTCACGTGCTTTTTGTACTAAAGGTGTATCAGTAAATATACGCATATTGGGCATTAATGGCATAGCACATGATGCTACGGGTTTAGGTGAATTTTCAATTTCAACTAAACACATTCGACAATTACCTGCAATTTGTAAATTTTCTTGAAAACAAAATTTAGGAATCTCAATTTTAAAAGTATTACACGCTTGTAATACAGTTAAATTTTTATTAACTTTTAATTTAATATTGTTAATATATATATCAATCATGTATATGTTAAAAATTAAATAAAATTTAAATTTATTTTCACTTAAAGGATAGATTTTTATTTTAAAATTATTTTTTAATAATAAAATCTATTGTTATAGAAATTATCAAAGAAGGGACTTGAACCCTTAATGCTTTAAAGCTTTACATTCTAAGTGTAACGTGTTTACCAATTTCACCACTTTGATAATAAAATACCTACTATTGGACTTGAACCAATAACCCTATAATGGGAACAGATTTTAAATCTATCGTGTTTACCAATTTCACCAAGTAGGCTATACTTAAAAATACATGAAAACGAATAAAATAATAACTTATTTACAATTACATTTATTTGAATTAAAATATAATTTTTTTATACTTTTAATTACTTTTTTTTATCTTCTTATAATTTCATATTATTTTTCTGATCAATTAATATATTTATTAGTTAATAATTTACTTAATAAAAATATGTTAAAATATTTTATCTTTACCAATATTACAGAAATTTTTTTTACTAATATTTTTATATCATTTTTCATATCAACTTTTATATCAATACAATTAAGTATTTTATTATTTTGGATTTTTTTATCAAAAGGTTTATATCAATATGAAAATTTTATTTTTATTAAATTTTATTTATTTTATTTAATTTTTAATTTATTTATAATAAATTTTATTTTTAAAACTATTATTCCACATATTTGGAATTTTTTATTAAATTTAAATTTTTCAAATTTTTATCTTTTAACTATTTATTTTGAACCAAAAATAATCAATTATTTTGATTTCCTTTTTTCATCGTTTAGTTATTTATTTATAATATTTATTTATTTTTTTATTTTATCTTTTTTAATCTTTAATAATATTTTTAAAATTAAAATAATTATTAATTTAAGAAAATTTTTTTATTTAAAAATAATATTAATAAGTGCTTTGATTACACCACCAGATATGTTTAATTTTTTATTAATTTATTGTTTTTTTATATTTATTTTTGAAATATTTATTTATATTTCAGTTTATTTAAAAAAATATAATTTAATTTAAATTATTTTTTTTTATAAAATTTAATTTATTTTTATTTAAATTAATATCAGTATTTTCAATAATTTTTGTTTCTTTAAAAATTTTTGAATTTAATTGATAATTTTTTAAA